TTTCCCGTGCTTGGGCTAACTCCTATCCCAAACACAATGCAAATGAGATGGCATACACAATGCGACTAACATACAACCTAGCATACGCAATACTATGAAATGGCATACACAATGCGACTGACATACAACCTAACATACACAATGCTATTAACTGAAATGGCATACACAATGCAAGATGGACTTACACCAACATGAGTGGACCTCAGCCACACTCACATCAGTGGCCATTAGATGAAAATGAGACAGCCGAAATGCGTGCACACATGCACGCATACCGAGGACCAAACCTAAGGCATTAAATGCCACTCTACCAAAACATGGCAAGGATGAAGCATGACATTCAAACATGTAATTTCCAACACTAAAACATGATACTAAATGATCCCGAAACATGGAAATATGGCACCCGATGCATGGAATAAGCCCCGAAACTCAAAACTAGTCCAATGCATTGAACCACAAGTATACAAAGCAAGCATTATTTGATTATGAAGTCAAAAGACAGAGCCAAGCCAGTCCCAAAACATGCACATTTTCAGTTTAAAGCATGGCCAAAAGATGCTAACATGATGGACTAAAATAGCATGCAACATTGGCTAGCAAGCATGGTTTACATGGCATGTATATGAAGCAAATAAGAACTCATCAAACCAGCTGAAAACAGTGAATAAAATATGCCCAAATAATTACTGAAATGCAGCCAATGCATGCAAAAATGAGGGGCTTCTTTGGAAGGCCATTCAAGGGGTCGTTAAACACATATAAGATAGACACTTAGCATGACCAAACCAACTCTGAAAATGAGTTATGAATGCCCTAAAACTCACAAAATTGGCTCTGAAATCAGTCAAGGAAGCATACGATGAAAGGACCCCTCAAAAGGCCTTGAATGGAATTGTTCTACACATGCACTATAGACATAAAATATGATCGAAAGGGCCCCTGACAGACCTAAGGCAGACCTTAAAACCCACAAAATTGGGCCCAAAAAGTGACTTCAAAGCATGCAAAATAGAGCCCCTTTGGAAAGCCAATGTGACCACCAAACAAGACAAGAAGAGAGGGGGTCACCCCCCTCTAATTTTGGCCCTCAAAAATACATCTAAGCCACTGAAAATCCACTAGATTTTAGTGGCTAAGAGGCCAAACCATGGCCAATGCAAGTGTTCTAATGCATGGCCCTAATCATGAAGGAATGAAGCATGCATAGGGGAGGATGACCCCAAACAGAAAAATTCCCTTAATAAAACATGAAGAGGGGCTCAAAATAAGAACTTTTTCAGTTTATGACAACTCTCTAAAATGTTCACAAGTAGGGCTAATATATGATGCAAAAATAGCCCTAAAAGAGAGATAGAGGGTAAGGGGAAGTAGATGACCTCAAATAGAAAAGTGTCCTTAAACAAAGTTGAAGAGGGGCTCAAAATAAGAACTTTTTCAGTTTATGTCGAAGCCCAGAAATACTTGCAAGTGAAGCTAAGTAATGAAGCAAAAAAATGTAAGTTTAAGGGAAATGGACACTTACCCTTGAAGAGCCGACCTCCAGCAGCTTTTGGACCAAGTTGGTGAGCTTTCAACCTCTGCAAATAACTTCCAAGGTGCTGGAATGGATGATGGAGGTGTGGTGCTAAGGGTTGTAGTGCACATGGAACAAGAAAATTAGGGTTTTGGAGCTTGGAATAGTGACAATGGAGGAGGGAGGTTATGTGCCTTAGGAAATTTTGTTCAACCCTTAGATATGAAGTGGAGGGCCTCTCTTATAGAGAAGAGAGGCCAAAGCTTCTCTTGGAAGCTTCAAAGATCCTCCATACACGTGTATGGAGGATGCACCAAATGCCCCCCAGCTGGCACAGTTGTAAAGTAAACAGAGAGGGCAAAAAGCAAGAAGCAAGCCGGCCAGTTCAAGTGGCCGGCCAGCCACTCCCCCTGGTCAGCCGACCAGGGGTCAAAAGGTTCAAGAAAAATTACTGGTCGGCCTACCCAGAAGGGTGGCCTCCCAAATGAGTAGAACACAGCCCTGTAGAGAAAAACTAGAAAATGTGACCCAGGAGAGAGAAAAGCCAGATTTTAAGCAAGGTTCAAAAGGGTCAAGATGAATTTCTGGCCGGCCTGCCCATATTGGTGGCCTCCCAGATGAGCACAACACAATGGTGGTATGAAAAGCCAGAAAATGTGGCTCAAAAGTGAGAAAAACCAGCTTCTGTCAGAAAAACCAGCTTTTGGAGAGAGAAAATGAGAAAACTGGCTTTTCAGGGGAAGAGGTGGCCGGCCACCATCCTACCACCTCCGTAACAGTGAAAATAGGGTTTTTACCAAAAATGGACCAAAACGGATGCAAAACGAAGGTTCGGGAGCCAAAACGCGTGGTTCGGGGCCCCGAAAACAGGCTGTTAGGCACTGGAAGTGGCGTATGACCACGAAGGTGGTCTCCCGGGCCACAGTGTCCCTCTAAAGGGAGGAAATAAGGTGTGTGCCAAAAACCGGAGCAAACGGAGGTAGTTAAGCGGTCCCGAACCGAGGCACACGGCCGGCGGCTCCGAAAATCGGAAACTGGGCTCCAAACGGGAAAAATGGCCTACGACCACGAAACGTAGCCTACGGCCACTGAGAGATGGTCTACGAGACCTCTCCCTCCCTTCAGGAAGAGAAAACAAAGAAAACAAGACCTGGTTCGCAAACCGAGGCAAAGCACAAAAGAGCCCCGAAGTCCGGAGGCAAGGCTCGCAGCCGGGACTCTGAAACCTCAGAACGAGCATAATATGCAACATCACCGAGCGCCCAATTGGTGACGTCTAAGTCTTAAGGTCGGTCAAAAATGGGGTGTCTACACATACGAACCAAGTCTAATCCAATGTTAATAATTTCATTTCATACATAATACAGGACTAACCAAAACCATTCATTTCATTTCTTTATATAATACAAATCATTAGTTTGTATGTCCAAAACCATCATATCCACATTTGTATGTCCAAAACCATATCCACATTTGTTTGCCCTTCCGTACTTGTCAAAAAAAATCATATCCACATTTGTATGTCCAAAACCATCTGCAAATTAAAAAAAATGTCATTAGTTTGGTGCCTATAAAGGCACTTTTGGACGACATATAGCAACTGTATTAATTTCAAACATGAAAAGACAAGGAGAGTAATAACTATTAACTAATGAAAGACACCCAAACATGAAATGGTAGACAAACATCGATTCTATGACATTTTCAACAGTGGTTCGGGGGCTGTTTCGCATTTTCACCCCCCAAACCCCTTTTTGTCGACTAAATTAATGACATTTTCAACTCTAAATCACCACAAACTGGCATAAATCACCACAAATATTAATAATTTTGACAACAAAAAATTGTAAATCTTCTTACGATAAAGAAATAGTAAATTAATATAAGCTTCCCATTATCCACCTATTTCTCCATCCAGATGCAACATAAAATTTAACAAATAGGAATAATATATGTGTTTAACTTTTGACATCTAACGCGGTTAAAAATTGACAGGAACTAATTATCATGTTTGTCCTGAACAAAAGTAAGGAAATTTATCTATGATGAGAAACTAATTACCATGTTGGTATCAAATTCACTGCTATGAACAACCAATACTCAGTAGTCCCAAGAATAAGAGCATTTTTCAACCCTAGAAATCGAACCACCAATGCAGCAACCAAAGAAAAAACCGTAAAAGATGAATACAAAATCCCAAGTGAAATCGTCCCTAAATCTTCCTTCTGAAACCAAAATTCAATTCAAATTAATCAAAATATTAGCCTAAAAGTAATGAATTATTCAACGGATTAATTTCACTTCTATCCCTTAAACTATTAACATTTTCTTTATTTCATCTTTAAAATTTCAATTGCATTTAGTCCTTCAAATTTCTGATATCTATGGAGAATATCATAAATGGTTGCAATTTATAGAGTTCGTTATTTAACTGTGTGTGTATTTTTGTCCTTCTTCCTGATAGTTAAGATATTTATAGTTTTCTCTTAACAGTGCTTCTATAAATAATGAATTTTAGCAATGAACTGGCACTGGTTCACAATAGATGGTTGAACAGGGCTTTGCAGCATTACCAGTAATGACTCGATGTTGGGAAGACTCTATGCCTGAAGAAGATGACCACAATGAATCAAGTGAGGTGAAGGTGTCTGGACGAGCTACCATTGCTAGAGATTTGTCTAATCTTCTACAGCAGGGTTGGCTTAGACCTGCACAGCAAATGGTTAGTCTATAAATGTAGTTAATGTAATCGGATTTATTTCTCGAGTAAGAAAATCCATCACCAGCTAGAGAGTCCAAATATATGATGTTGGAAACTTGGCAAACAAAGATCATCAATTTAGGAGCTTAGTTAAGAAATATGGGTAATATAAATGCTATTTGACATTCAAACAAATTTATAACCTTGGACCAGCTATTTGACATCCAGTAATGTAGTTTGGGAAGGCTTCCCTTTGTCTCCCGTTTCAAAATTGAATGGTCCTACATAATATGATCTAAAGATTGTTTCACACATTACTTGAATTAACTGAATTGAAGAGAAAAACAATTAATTTGAAAACTTATTAAGTGCTTTCAATAGATGAAAGTAGAAGAGGGTAAACAAAACCTTTAAGTCTGAAATTCCATATCTTAAAAACACAGAAATTATCCCAGATCAACGAAAATCTAAACCAAAGCACAGCTATTTTATTTGATTCAAAGGGCCATAGCATCTGAATCCACAAACTGGTTATTTGAAAACTCAAAAAAGAGCCCCAAGAATCATAAAGATATGGGAGAGGTTATAGGAAAAGTTATACTTTTTGAGAGAGAAGTTGTATATTTTGTGAGACGAAAATTACGATTTTTGTGATGAAAGTTATGAATTTTGAAGTTATAAAGAGCACCTAAAAGTTATGTATAACTAAAGTATACTTTTTGTGAGAGAAGTTATATATTTTCTGAGAGGCAAAAAAGTTGTATTTATAGTGAAGAAAAAAAGTTATACAAAATGAAGTTATGTTTTTCGCGTAAGGTGCATACGATCACATCATAGCATTCTCCTAAAGTGATTTCAAGAATTCTCTATCCTATTCTGAAGTATGTGGCTATGGAAACAAAATACACACTTTACATATTTTGAAGTACACAATATAAAATTTTCATTTGTGCCTCAATCCAAAGAATCCAAGCAGTTTTAGTGATTCACAAGATTAGCAAAAGCTTCAATCAAGTTTTCCTCAACAAACCAAAAAAGACAATATGGAAACCATACAGTAACACAAAGAAATAGGTCCAAGACTCACAAATATAGGAAATAGGTATAGTTCAATTTGTGAGTGTTACTTCAAAAGGGAAATAGGTCCCCAAAGAGTCATTAGCATTAGAGATATGAGGTTCAATTCAAATGTATTGTTTTGTTACTGTTGATATAAATTATAATCGTGCAAAGGTAGGCTACAATTACGAGGCGCATTCAAATTTCAATTTTTATCCAAACAACAGAAACTAAATTTGCCAATAATATGTTTCTGTAATTCCACGCTTACCATAACAATAAGAGTTCCCATCTCTTCATAATGATAGTATTCAATGCGTTTCAACCGTAACGCACTATTAGGTACTTAGCAGCAGTCCCTAAGAGAATCTAGAGTAGCTTGTTGTAGCAACTAAATATCAAGCATGGCAAGTATACTTACATTTATAAGGAAAGGTATAAACGGATTTGAAGAAGACTGCTCAGAAGAATAAGTCTGATTTAGAATAGCAAGAGTAACCAAACGTTGAATAGGTTTAAGCATCTTCTTGTTCTGTAACAATATGTAGCTTATTAGCAATCACCAAGCAATACCACAACCCAAAAAATTCATCATTCACATTAGGTATCTATGAGGTTGCAAAATTTAATATAAAATTCAGGGAGAAAGGGAGGGAGAATAAGGCTTGCATCCAACCAGATGATCGAATTTACTTATGCCAAAAAATAATTTATGATGATATGCCATCTCAATTAGACAGTGAAATGATAAATGCGAAATAACAGAGCTGCAAAGGGTCCAACAAATAAAGATATGAGGAATGGCAATCTTTTCATTTAAAATTACAAATAGATAGCATACTCAACATTTTTTCCCTAATTCATTTGTCTTCTCTTTCACTCACACAGTGTTAAACACAAAGCAAGAAAAGGGCAAGCAAAGAGCAGTCAGATTAGTAGGTAGACATCTAGAAATGTTTAAGTGAAACCTTAACCAAAAATAAATTTTAAAAAAAAAATTTAGAAGAAGAAAAAGAACATGAATAAAGTGAAAAAAGAAAGCAAAGATTAGTGAAACCCCAAAATAAAGTTGAGTTGAATTAGAATTTCAATTGATACGAAAGTTATGACTAGCATAAAGAGCAAAATTAGCCCCCTTTCAGTGTTAATAAGCACCCATACTAGAAATTCCCAAAATCGCATAATTCAATTTTCAAAAACCAAACAGTGTGCATATTCGTGTTTGCATACAAAACCTAACAACAATTCCAAGTTCAATCTCAGAACCCAACACCTCATATGGCCAATAAACAAAGCCCTAACTCTCCAAATTCTTACATCTAAACTCCAATCAGCTAAATTTAGTATCTTACGCTATGTTTGGATTGAGTGATTTGGAGAGAAAAGAAAAGAAATGAAGAGATATGTATTTTTTTATTTGTTTGGATAACTTTAGTGGAGAGAAATAGGAAGAAATGGAGAGAAACCTATTTCTCTTATAAGCCTCATTTTCAATCTTCCCAAAAGTGTGGAGATTGGGAGAGAAAAGAAACCATTATTTTCATAATACCAATTTTGTTCCTATAAAAATAAAGGAAATAAAATGATTGAAAACATAAAAAGGTTATTTTGGTAATATAACATAAAATAATTTATTTTCTTTTCTCTCAATGAAATCTAACTAAACAAGAATGAGAGAAATCGCAATCATTTTTTTTTTATTTCTTCCTTATCCAAACAAAAATGAAAGAAATCACAATCATTTCTTTTCTTTTCTTTTCTCTTATAACTTAAGTGATCCTTTCTTTTCTTTTCTCACCCAAGTTCCCAAACATTGTGTTATCTTAATCAAGTATGAAAATCTCCATTACAATTGATAAATAAAATAATTATATATATATATATATATATAGAGAGAGAGAGAGAGAGAGAGAGAGAGAGTTGCCGAGTGAGAGACAGCTGAGCGTGTGGAAGTGTATTTTTTATATATAGATTTCTTTCCCGACTACTTTTTGTAGTCACCAATAATAAATAATGACGTTTTTCCGACTAACGACTTTAGTAGCCAATTAAATTTCCCTCCGAAATCTAAAGTCCAATTTTTAAATTTTTTAATTATAATCGCCGACTAAAATTTAGTCAGTAAAAGTAAATTAATACAGACTAAATTATTTTTAGTAGCTAAGGATTATACATTTAGAGACCAAAATTTTTCTAGTCGCCTATAGGGTAATTTTTTAGCGACTGAGTCATTTTTGGTCGCCTATTGGGCTATTTTTAGCGACTAACTGTTTTTTAGTCGCTGATTGGGTCATTTTTTAGCTACTAATTATGTTTTAGTCGCCAATAAGTAATATACGGCTACTAAAAAAATTTAGTAGCTAAAATATGAAACATTGCCGACCAATTCAAATTTTAGTCGCCAAAGGGTTGACTTTTGGCGACTAAATTAATTTTAATAGCCAAATTTGATCGCCAAAAATGTAATTTCTTATAGTGCATTTGAAGGGTAAATTAATTATATTAGGTTTTGTTAACAAGTGCCCTTTGGCACTAGTTAAGATTGCATTAAATAAATCTAACAACCACTAGCATAGAATTTAGAAAAAGTAATCACTGTTTGATTTAATTTTTTTTGTAATATGTCCAAAATATCCTCTCTTTTGAGTCAAATTTTTTATTTACTTTTCAGGTCTTTTTTATGTTTGGTTGAAAAAAAAAAATAATGTTTTACATTTAAATTAAACTTGTATACACTAACTTATCTACCATAACGTTTTTCAATGAACAACATAAAAAAATATTTTTTTAAATAATAATACTTGGTTTTCAAAAATCATGTTTTAAAAATGTACATTTTCTTCTTTGAATATAAGCGTTTAATTTGGTCAGATTTGCAAAAGAAAGAGTTTATTTTTTCTTTACCAGGTTTTTTTTTTAAAATAAATTTATTCAATTTTTATTTATTTTTTATTTTTGAATAGTCTATTAATTTTTTGAAATTTTTGAAAAAGGTTCAAAAAAAGAAAAAAATGATTTAATTTTTGCAAGATTTTTTTTATATAGAATTTGATTTATTTTCGCTTTTAATGAAAAAAATTGACTCAATTTTTCTAATTTTTAAAATTTTATAGTCAAAAACATAACTAAAAAATTATATTAAAAAAAAATTGACTAAAAAAAGAGAGGATGTTTTGGTCTTGTTACAAAAGAATTAAATTTTTTCTAATCAAACATTAATTAGATTTTCCAATTTTCATACTAGTAAAGGAGGTTGGCTTCATTTAATGCAACCTTAATTGGCACTTGTTAACAAAACTCAATTACATTTTACTCCCTTAAGTTTTCTAACTTCTCCACTTTGGCCTTTAAAATTAATTTTTTTTCCACTTTAGCCCCCAACATTTGTAATTTTTTCAATTTACTCTGAAAACCAACTTCTGTCCAATTTACCCAACAAAATAATAATATATTAATAGTCACATGGCGTAAATGGATAAATTACACATTGCCTTCTTGGTTAGCCCCAAGAGATGAGCCAAGATATATCAAAGGAAGATGCAGACATTTGCAAGTAAAGGGAAGCACAAGTCCTTCCCCAGATTCTCCTCAACATTCACCCCACAAACAACACTTTCATAGAAGTTGATTTTCAATCCTTACATAACTTCAAAAAATCTCAGGGTTCTCTTAAATTTATACTTTTAAATCAATTTGTTTCGCAAACAATAACTGTATCATCAGAAAGTTGTGTCAAACTCATCCTATTTTGACCACACTATTCCTCTTAGAAGACACAATTGCTTAGCTTAAAAAATAAATAAATAAAAATAAAAATTCCAATTAAGATAATCATGTAAAACAAAGTTCCGATTAAGGTAATCATGACCCTTTTTCAAATCTAACTTTAGCACTATATCCTCTTTCCAATTAGCCCTCTAGTAATTCACTATCTTATTAGGACACCATCCTGAATAGTTTTTCTCACCAACAAACAAAGGCTGATTGAACTTCACCAATAATTGAAGGTATAATAATACTTGATAATCCGAATTTTCATAGCTTAAATAGCTCGACTATCTCAAAACGACATTATTTTGGGTATAAAACGATATCGTTTTGATACATTTGAAATAATTCGAACCACAAAAATTCGAATTATCAAACATTTTTCTTGGAGGTATCAACTTGAGAATGTTAGTCCAAAGTGATTAATTTGTGGGGATTGTTTTGGGCGGCTCCAAGCTTTGTAGGTGATTCTTTTTCCATTTCATGGTCAATATGGGGGTACTATAAATAATTATATTTTTAACGAAGGACAAACCTAACTAGGAGGAATTTGCTGACTCAATCAAGTTTAGGATTGTGTCTTGAGCCAATGAATCCGGATCTGGTGGATGATGTTGCCAAAGCTAGTGGCCTTATTAAGTCAATTTGTAAGTTAAAAAATATATAAGGTCTAAAATAATTATATTTTTGGGTATATATCTATGACTTTTTTACTTGTGTAATAGTTGAAAGAGATGTCCTTAAAATCCCCAGGGGAAGTCAAATCCTCACTGTTTCGTTGAAAGAAATGTCCTTAAAATAAGTTCGATGGTTCATCTGATGGATGATGAAGCCAATCAAATGTCGGCATCGTGGCGCAAAACAACAACACATCAATAAACGATCACATTGTCCTGTCTTTAACTTCTTCTGTTTTTTTTTCCCTATTAGACTTTTTCTGAATTCTCTCTCTGTCTCTCTAAAACTCTATTTCTTTTTCTAAATTACTTCTAGATCAGTAACTCAGTTGCTCAGTACTCGAGTGAGTATGGGTTGGCGTTTCACCAACCCATTTATGAACCACAAAATCCCACTAGGAGTGCCTAACGCGGATGTTGGAGTTGATGGCATTTTAACTATCAAAAATGCTAAAGGCCCCAAAAATTCTACCAAAAGTTTTACCAACTGTCTCACATGGGTGTGGGAGCCACATGGGACCCACAATGTGTGGGTCTCACACCCATGTGAGGCATTTGGTAAAACTTTTGGTAGAACATTTGGGATCTCTAGCATTACTCTTTAACTATTGCCAATCTTTTGGCAACCAACTCATTCAAAAACAATTACTTCCACGACTCGATTGACCTGCCTTGTTTAACCTTTTCACTGTGAACCATGAAGAGGACACATAAACATTGTATTTTCTCTTTTTTTATGCTAATTGTGTACATGTTTGTATCTAATGTAAAAGAGTTCTCAAGTTAGATTCATGTACCTTTGTTTTTACAATTTTTTCGAACGTATTTACGTGGTAACGCCTAAATGATTGCTTTCAATATTTGTCTATTGGGAAAAAAAATTATCAAAGCCATGGAAAATTAAATAGTAATTTTACATTTTGGCAAAACACTACACTTGATTGTTGAAAGATACTGATAATACAAAACTATACAAATTACAAATGCAACAAATCTTTTTCCGCACTACAGGAGAAATTAATGTAGTCTTATCTAATTGTGGCATTTTTAAAGATTATCAAAGTTTCCTTAACATTGCTACACAGCCAAATTTTATGCAGTGCCAGCTACAAGTATTACTTCAAAAAAAAAAAAACTTAAGATCCTTAAAATATCACCTCCTAAATTTTATTTTATTTTATTTTTTTTGGGTACAATAGAAGTAAAGAGTTGATTTTGTGGACATTCCTGTTTTAAGACATAATTTTCTCCAAGTAAAAAGTTGTTTTTGTTTCAAATGACATGAAATGTTATATAACAATGATTAATTTGTTAAGAAATTAATCACTTAAGATCCAATAACCTGCTGCGGCATTATAGGCTATTTAGAGATAATGTTTTAGCGATTCTAAATTTACCAATGATCCTAAACAATAATGTTAAAAATATATAAATCAAACCGAATATACAAATGAATAAATAAAATTTTAAAAATTTTATTGTCAAATCCAATCCTAAAAATTTCAATTTATTAATGTATTTATGTGTTCAACACTATATTTAATTTTCATAGTACTAGACTCACAGATTTGGATCTTCTTCTGTAGTCCACCCACCTAAATTCAACCCAATTCTTGACAACCCGGCTCCTCCACCCCTTCGGCACCAAACATGCTGGATCGGCAACCAGTTCAGGGGGGAAAGACGCAGCGAAATAAATCATGAAGAGAACGATACCATTTTTGGTGGTAGAGATTCTGCAACCAGAACTTCTCACAAGTTGGTTTCAACATTTCACAAATTCCATCACTTTCACAAATTACTCTGATTTTTTTCGGTTGTTGAATCAAGCATTTCAACTGGAATCAACCCAAAACCACCACGGTCATTTGTCCAAGGGCATCTGTGATCAGTACACTAAGCAAGAACAAAAAGAGAGAAAAGTTTATTAGTTTTAGTTGGAAATTTGTTTGGAAGTGTATGAGACAACACACCAACAAACACATACACATCAATAGTGCCATCCCTTAAAAACGACGTAGACCCAAAACCACGCCGTTCTACTAAACACATATCATTCTCTGCAACGTGGCAACTTCTAGCCTTTTGGATTGCTTCTTGGCGACGTGTCACAATCTCGTTAAAACTACTGAACAGTGCTGGACAGGAGACTGCAGGAGAGGATCCAAATCCCTCATTGAATCCAAAATATGGATTGCATCGATGCACATGTCAGCTCCTCGGTCTTATACACTACCATTGGACACAACATTTTATATTATTACATATCAAGTCAATTTATTATTTGTATATTTTTATTTATTAAAAAATCAAAGCAAGTTGGCGTTTTGTCTTAGCTTATGGCATTTCTTGTTGGACGGCAAATTGCCCCTTGGGTCTGTCTTGAAACGACAAGATTGCATTGTCATGTGAGAAATTTGAAATACTATTTTTAAAATATTTACGTAGTGCTTTTAAAAAATAAACAAGTACAACACCCATTAAGTAAACAAAATTCTCTCTCTCAAGAAAGTTGAATCGATGTATATCAATTATAAAATTTTTTGCTACTTCATTAATTTGAAATATTGTGTAAAATAATTAGTTGTGATGAGATGGTAAAGGAAGGGATACAGAATAGAAATCCAAACACTTTCTTAAATCTTCAAACCTGGAAAGCTAAGAAGACTAGCTTGGGAGAGAGTTGAACCTCTTTGCTGGGCTATAAAACTATTTCCATATTCTCTTTGCCATAAGCATTAATCCCACCATAGAGAGAGAGAGAGAGAGAGAGAATGGCTTCCAGATCCATGTTAGAGAAGCCTCATGCAGTTTGTATACCATTCCCAGCTCAAGGCCACATCAACCCCATGCTAAAACTAGCCAAACTCCTCCATTACAAAGGCTTCCATATAACCTTTGTGAACACAGAGTTCAACCACAAACGCCTCCTCAAATCCCAAGGCCCTGACTCACTCAACGGCCTCCCCTCCTTCCGCTTTGAGACCATACCTGACGGCCTCCAGGAATCCGATTCCGAAGCCACCCAAGACATCCCCTCCCTCTGTGAGTCCACCTCCAAACACTGCTTAGCTCCCTTTAAAGACCTCATCTCCAAACTCAATGACAATGTTGGATTGAACGTCCCACCGGTCACTTGCATAGTCTCTGACTCCTCCATGTTCTTCACATTCACCGCTGCTGAAGAACTAGGCATCCCCCATGTTTTTTTGTGGACAGCCAGTGCTTGTAGTTTCATGGGTTACCTTCAATACTGCAATCTAATCGACAAGGGTATCATACCACTCAAAGGTAGTAACTATAAGCATACTTACATACATAAACAAATGCACACACATGTATATTTCATGTTTATACGAGTACATGTATATATGCAAGCAGTGACAAATAGAGAATTTTAACACAGGCAAATCTCACTTCACCCCATTGTGAATGACCCCGTCATTTTAGAAATAAGAAAACCAAAGTGCACCATTAGCTTCTGCTAACGGCACCTGTAAATTTAACCAAATAACCACGTCTTCTTCCACCTCTACATAGTTATAGTTACATACATTCACACACAAAGCACCATCGCTCACCAAAACAAATACACAACTTCAATTAACCCCACCCAGCCAAGCTTTCACCAAGGGAATTTTTTTGTTTTTTTTCCCTAACATACAAACATGATAGGAACATTGGGCAGGGGGGATGAAGATCAGAACAGCAAACCCACCACGACAAAGCTGATCACAAGGAACCCCAACGATGGTTGGTTTGGCATTGATGGGTGGGGTGGGCACCATAGTCTTGGGTCAATCCCTACACAGATATGTTTCTTTGTCCAAATATGATTATGCACACAACCTAAAGAATTATTCCGTCTATTATATTATAAATATAGATACCATATATAGCAGACCAAAAATTTATCACATATCCAAACTTTAACCAATGTCCCACTGACCCAACCACTCAATTGATCAAAAATCTAGTAAAATAATTTAGAAAAGGCATATATAAGCATCAAAAAAGTTCTAGATTTGGACAACCAATCTATGAGCTAACCATATGCTAGTGTAGCACTCTGTGTATTGGTTTTATTGTTGGCCATTAAAGTTCATGAAGTTTGAGATTATTTTGTAGGGCGGTGGTGGTGGGAGAGAGAGGTTGGGCTGCCGGGAGATGCAGGAGGGAGTACAAATTATGGTGTGGGATGTGGGAGGGGTTGGAGAGGATGTGGGAGAGAGACAGAGAGAGGGAGTAGAAGGCATAGAACAGTAGAGACGGGAACAAGAAATAAAGTTTTTTTTGTTCCTGTAAATTTGAAGGTGTATAAAGGATATTTGTCTTAAAAATTAACAATGCACTTTATTTCACAAACCACGGAAGCTTGTATGTTTATTTCCAAATAACAATGAAGTCCTCTGCACAAGTTCTAAACCATGGGGGCAAACTAAAATTTGCACTCTAAATTTATGGATGAATATATATGTAATTTAATTATATATATACTAATGTATATGCAATCAAAAAAAATTATACATTAATGTATATGAATATATTATAAACTAAGGTCTACAATATTAATAATATTATTTTTCCAATTTGAAAATATTATAAACTAATACTACTACAATAAGAGAGGTTTGAAACTTGTGGTGTTGCCCCAGCCAAAATAGGGGTGGGCAAATGATGCGAAAAACCTGTGAAAAAAACCAACTCGGCTTTCATAGGATGGGTTGGTTTGGTCCATGAAAGGCATTGCACAATTCCGGATCTTAAAGTGACCAATATAACCAAATCGATTTGCTTCTCTGGTTGGCCTCAGGCTAACTTGAACATAAAAATAAATTTTACAAATTTTTTATAAATAGCAAACACATGTTTACGTAATTTGTTGTGATAATTTATTACCATAAATATTGTTACATTCAATCATCTAATATCAAATTTTTCTACAATCTAAACAATCCTGAATTCGTATGGATTGGATTTTCTCGGTTTTAAAAGATAATTGATGCGGTTCTAGGGCCAAAAATTTAGAATTGATCAAGGTTGATTTGTTTCTAGGTTTGGCTCTAACATTTTGGATGACCAATTTTCTTGCATATGAGATCTTCTTGAATAGATATAGGCACTTTTGCCTATATTGATATGTAGCCCCGAAGAAGCTTCATAAGAACTAAGGAATTTAAAGAAATTTTCTAGAGATTTTTTTTAAACAAGTCATACCGAAACGACTCATACTCACCCATTAGGTACATCCCTGCATAAGCAAGTATGACGAGCACATATTTATACCAAGTTATTATTTATATATCTACATATAATTTCAGTCTGGTGTTGCACTTTTTGTTTTTAGCCATGGGTGTTCAACTGTTGACATTACCAATATTGTGATGTGCAGACCCGAGCTATCTCACAAATGGGTATTTGGATATGGTTATAGATTGGATACCTGGTATGCAAGGTATACGTCTTAAGGATTTCCCAACCTTTATTCGATCCACTGACCATAATGATGTCATGCTGAAATTTGTGTTGGATGGAACTGAGATCGCTCTTAAAGCTTCTGCAATTATTTATAATACAATTGAGGAATTGGAGCATGAAGTTTTGGACGCACTTTCATCCATGTCCCCTCCAATTTACACAATTGGACCTTTACACTTACTTGCAAATCAGATCAAGGATGATAGTTTGAAGTCCATGGGATCAAATCTGTGGAGAGAAGCACCTGAGTGCATAGAATGGCTCAACTCTAAAGAACCTAACTCTGTTGTTTATGTGAACTATGGAAGCATAACTGTAATGACAGCAAATCAACTGGCTGAATTTGCTTGGGGACTTGCTAATAGCAACCAGACCTTTCTGTGGATAATAAGGCCTGATCTTGTTGCCGGTGACTCAGCAGTTCTTCCACCGGAGTTTGTGACTGAGACCAAAGAAAGAGGCCTACTTGCAAGTTGGTGCCCACAAGAGCAAGTTATCGCCCACCCGTCTATCGGAGGTTTTTTAACTCACTGTGGGTGGAACTCCACTCTTGAAAGCATTTCCAGTGGAGTGCCAATGATCTGTTGGCCATTTTTTGGAGATCAACAAACCAACTGTTGGTACTGCTGCACTAAGTGGGGAATTGGGGTAGAGATAGACAATGATGTTAAGAGAGATGAAGTTGAGAAGCTTGTGAGAGAGTTGGTGGCTGGAAACAAGGGCAAGGAGATGAAGAAAAGGGCCATGGAATGGAGGAAAATGGCCGAAGAAGCCACTGCAAGTTCATCTGCTTCATCTTTTTTGAATCTAGAGAAAATGATTAAGCAAGTGCTTCTCCCTCCAAGACAATAGAGTAATTGGAATGAACCTAGTTTACAACTATGTTTTGTCGATCCCATTTCAATATGTTGTGTTGTTTTGGGATGGGTTGTTTAAGGGTTATTGTTTGTTATTGGCATTGAATTTAAAAATAAAAGGGTAAATTACACTTTGCACTAAATTTCACTTTTGCCCCTACACATAAAATCATGACAGTCAACCCCTACACTTCTGATCCCTACACATGAAATTGTGACAGTCAATCCCTTGTACTTTTAGTAAAATCTCACTTTGGTCCCTACACAAGTGTCAATGTCCGTTTTTTGTTACTCAATTGTTTAAATTTTTAACAAAATCTAATCATGTGATAAGAATGTGACTACGACATGAGAGTAAAAAAGGAAAATCATCTATATTTTCCACCAATACACACTTTATCCCAAAATTACATTAAAATATAACTGTATTAGGCTAAAACAAAATGCAGATTGTGAACAATTAAGAAGATAAACTAAGGTTTTGCATAAATTGGAATCACGAAACTCTATTTTTCACAGTAACACAGTCTTTTGTCTATTCATCATTCTTTTTCTTTGATTTCTTTGTTGCATTTTTTTTATTTCAAAAGCTCTACTTGCCTTTTCGTACCAACTTTTACCATACGAACATATTTACTGTATTATATTTCTTTCATGTGCTTATCATGTAGGACAAAGTGTATTGGTAGGAAACATGAATGATGTTCCTCTTTTATCCTCATTTTGTAGTCAGATTTTTGTCACATGACTGGGTTTTGTTAAAGATTTAAAAATGAAATAATAAAAGAGGAACAATAACACTTGTGTAGGGACTAAAGTGAGATTTGAGTAAATGTGCAGGGGGTTGACTATCACAATTTCATATGTAGGGACTAAAGAGGGATTTGACCAAAAGTGCAAGGGGTTTACTACTATGATTTCATGTGTAGGGGCCAAAGTGAGATTTGGTGCAAAGTACAAAGGTGCAAAGTGTAATTTACCCAAAATAAAAAAATAAAATGCTATATGCCACTGTTCAACTTATCGAGTCGGATTATCAATTCTCAAACTCTTTTATCTTCAAATCTTTGTCTGTTATAATTTTAATCATACAATCATGGATCACCAAAAAGATGGAGGCAAACATTTTGTGGCTAGAGTTTTTTCTTTTTCTTTTTCTTTTTCTTTTTTTCAATCGGTAGGAGATTATTTATAAATATTAGGAGAATTGCATTAAACGACAATCAACTATATAAGAAAGTCAAACAACACATAGCTACAAGACCAACACTAACAATCATTACAAGATAGAGCCTCATAATAGGAAAGAAATAAACAACAAAAGGAAAACCCTCTAATAGAGAATAAATAATCCATAATTTCCCTTGGCAGTGATTGAGCCCTGACCTCTCAGTTAAAAGAATAAAACTAAGAAACACAATGAGCTAGCCCAATTGGTTCAATTTCAATATATCAATCAAGTATATTTTATGCACATAATATCAGAAAAAATAAATAAACCAAAAATAAGAGACACAAGGATATATGTAAAAAGTAATTTTGAACAATAATAAGGGTTGAACAATATTGTGTGATACTATTTCTGTGTCCGTAGCCTTGTTGGTTCTGCATGTAAATTGGATTTGTATCTGGAGTGGTAACTTGGTGACTTACTGACGGGCCGTAATACACACCATACTAGTAACCCCATCACGTTATCTCATGAGATTCATAATTCTACTCAACATGTACCAATTACCAAACAGAATGGGTGGATTCATACAAGTGCTAGCTATAACACAAAACTAGTAGGCTATATTTACATGTATGAATAATTGCGCTTCTTGTCTGCGACTTATACGTAAACTTACAAGTTTACAATAAATCAAGTCTCAAATAAATCTTATTGTTTTGCATAGCTATGATTTTTTTGACTTTTGTTATGGTTAAAATAAGGGGGTTCAGTTTTGCTACTGTCGTATAGTATCTAGTTCATTCCCTGGCGTGCCATTCCTTTGGTCACCCTCTGGTCCATTTGGAAGATCAGAAATGAGTGTCTCTTTCAAGCCTCCCAACTTAACACCCAGCAGTTACAGGATCTCATCATCGTCAGGTTAGCGACTTGGTTAAAGTCCTCTTCCAATCACTTTCCATTCTCCATCAATGATTTTCTCTTCAACGCTTCAGGTGTTAGGCACTGCATACGCTCTTGAGCTGTCTGTTTGCTGGGAAATTCTATCTGGTTTGCTGCATTCGCTCTTGCTGCTGTATAATTCTATCTGTTTGGTCATCTATTTCTGGGTAGCGCTGTGTCCCTGGTTTGCTGTCTGTTTGTTGGGTAATTCTATCTGGTTTGCTGTCTGTTTGCTGGTCTGTTTTGCTGGTCTGTTTGCTGTCTGTTTGCTGGTCTGTTTGCTGTCTGTTTGCTGGTCTGTTTGCTGGGATGGCACGCCAGATTTTGCTGCCTGTTTTGGTTCTCCAGATTTTGGTTCTCCTTCTTGTATACCAGCACCAGATTTTGGCACGCCAGATTTTGCTGACTGTCTGCTGTCTGCATAAACTTACTACCTAGTTTGCGTAATTTGTATAGTATCTAGTTCATCAAATGACTGATGTAACCAAATGAATGCTTGCCTCATGGCACAAAAAAAAACACACACATTAATAAGTGTTCACATCGTCCCTCTCACGAAACTCTATTTTTCACAGTAACACAGTCTTTTTAAATCCTGTTCAACTCTCTCTCTCTCTCTCTCTTTCTCTCCCTCTCTCTCCCTCTCTTCATTTTCCTTTCAAAAACTCCTTTTCCTTTTGCTTTTCTGCTCCCTTTCTTCCACTGTAATCATCAAATCTGTGGCCTGCTTGTGCTGGAGATTAGAAAAATTGATTAATTGAGCCTCACAATTTGTCTTATCAGCTTCTGAACTTGTCCATGTCCTCATAGTAAATGAAGGTTGTTTATTCACCTGTACAAATCCACTTCCCCCAATTGTCCAAGGATTTGAACATGGAGCAATGAGGCTACAAAAGATGAAGCTAAGTGTTCTTGGAGTTGGATTCCAAGATGGGGTCAGGGCTGTTGCATGAGTTACGGGTTTCACAAGTCAAACGCCCAAGAGAAATAGGCTTTTATCCAGGTTGGTAACTCGCCGACCCAATGTCGGGGTCAATGCGCTTGGTCGCTTCACCAATACATTTAGAGACCTCAAACTGTCCCACTAGGTGCACCAAATGCAAATGTCAGGGTCGATGGCACAATTCTAAATATTGCCAGTCTTTAGGCCAGAACTCTAATTAACCCATTTGGAAATGACTACTTCTAGGGCTCAGTTGACGCACCACTCGAGTGGGCTTGCCTCGGTCTGTATAGTAAGGGTGCATACTCAGGTTACTTGAGAGTTGGTGGATTCAACTATGGGTGCTAGTCACAATGCATTGTGTAAGGGTGTAAGTGGTTCGGTATGGTCGGACTAGGTTGAGGGAAAGTTTGGTATTGAACCAAATATTTCGATTTTGTTGATTAAGGAACCGAAACAGACCGTATACTGCGGTCCAGTTTTATAAATTTTGTCAATTTGGTGTAGAGGAGGGATTCACATGATGTTTTAAAAGGCTTATAATAACTTGTAGAATTCCACATTGGAATAAATGAAGAAAAAGGGCAAAAGTTGCTCTAAAAGTGTCTCCCTCCCTAACTTTTATTACAAAACTTATATTATTAGTCACTTATCTTCTAATGCTTAAGAAATTAAAATATAAAAGTATTTAAATATAATATTTCAATTGGTTCAGTTTGTATCGGTGTAAAATTTTCAAACTCGAAGCAGACCACATATTATAAAAAATAGACTGAAAATTGAAATTTCGGTCAATATTGAGCGGTCAATTCGATTCCGGTGTAAAACGTGTATTATTAGTCACTTATCTTCTAATGCTTACAAAATTAAAATATAAAAGTATTTAAATATAATATTTCAATCGATTCAGTGTGTTTTGGTGTAAAATTTTCAAACTCGAAGTATACCGTACATTATGAAAAATGAAAATTAAAATTTTAGTCAATCTTGAGCAATCAATTCAATTCCGGTGGCACTTCTTACGCCCCTAGCATTGGAGGAAATATTTTTTGCCTGGCCTGTTTAACCCTTAAACTTTGCAGTGTTCAACTATGGTGTTAGAGTTGGATAGAGAAAACAAAACAAAATAAAACTATAGTGTTAGAGTGTTAACATTGACAATCGAAAGGGACATATTATTGTTTTTTTTTCTCTTTTGGTGCTAGCTGTGCATATGCATATAATGTAAACGAGCTCTTCTATTAGATTCATGCAGTGTTAACCATGTTTGATTTTTACAAATCTTTTGACTTATTTTACATGGTAAAGCCTAATCGATTGCTTTTAATATTTTATTATGAAAAATGTTATACATAAACGAATTTATTTTTTATTTTTTTATCACTAGACACAATACATCCCACATGTCTTAATTAATATAGACCTCACTACTTTTGTGTCTGGTGGTAAGAAAATCTAGTGAAAAATTAATTTATGTACAACATTACTCTTTTGGTATGAGGAAAAAATGAACAAAGCCATGTAAAATCAATTAGTAATTTTACATTTGCACAAAACGTAAGACTTCATTGCAAAGATAAAGATAAGATAATATTACAAATCACAACTGCAACAAAATAATTTTCCAACTACATGCGTTCCTAAACAAGATTGTTAGGAACATAAAATTAAACACAGAATCATATGCAAAAAAACATAAAAATATATAAGATTTTAACAAATGTGTTACTAGAATCCAATTTTTAAAAATTCTACTAATTAATATATATTTTTGCATCCAATTCTATAGTAAGGGTTAGTTTGAGATGTTCTAAAAAAGTGCACTTTTTGACTTATTGGCTTATTTGGATTGGGTTTGGGTTGGGTTTGATGTGATGTGTTAGAGAGGTGATGTGATTTAAATAAGATGATGTGACTTAAATAGGATAGTGACTTTTTGACTTTTTGTATTATTTAGGTCATGCCAAACTTGGCCTTAAATTTCTGTACTCCTAAACTTAATGAGTCCGAAAAAAGGATTACATATGTCCATTTGTTAGCTCCTTCATCTTATTCACTACTATACCTTAGTCCATGCATTATCATTAAACAGTTCCAAAAAGGGCTTACAGAACACAAATGTATTGTGCATTCAATAAGCATACTATTAAGTATTAAGAAAGTCAATCTCCTTTTTTTTTTCAAAGAAAAATTAGTTTTTGTACAAATAAAATAAGGTAATAAAAATTATGAGGAAAGTATTGTTAGCATATTATATTAAGTGATAGCATATTATATTCGCCGAAAGGCACACTAGGGTCTGTCTGTAATCACTGTAATCATTTTATGCACTCAGGGATAGTACTCAAGGATCATCTTGTAAATTGCATTTCTTGTAAACCCTAATCTTCTTTTATAAATAGGGGGTGATATTCTATCATTCCCCAAGCTGGTTACCCAAGCTTCATGGTATCAGAGCTACACCTCTAGGGTTAGGGTTCAAAACCGTACCTAGTTGGATCATCTGCTTCGTCGATCTTCAGCCACCGTCGTCACTCCGCTTCGTCTTCATCAGCCGCTTCGTCTTCATCAGCCGATTGGATCATCTGCTTCGTCTTCGTTGATCTCCTGCTTCGTCGATCTCCTCAGGTCCTCAGCTCGTCTTCGTCTTCTCCTCAGCTCGTCGATCTCATCGCCCTCGTCGTCCTCAGCTCCTCTGTCGTCTCCGTCACTCGTCGCCCTCAGCTTCGTCACTCGTCGTCCCTCGTCGTCCTCACTGTGGTATGATCTCCGACTCTAGTATATATATATATATATATACTGATATATATATATAAATATATGTATATATCCTGATATCTACATAAATCAATCAATATAAAAAAAAAAAATCAATCAAAAAAAAATCAATCAAAAAAAAAAACAAAAACAAAAAAAAAAAAAAAAAACAAAAAAAAAAAAAAAAACAAAAAAAAAAAAAAAAAAAAAAAAAAAAAAAAAAAAAAAAAAAAAAAAAAAAAAAACAAAAAAAAACAAAAAAAACAAAAATGGTTTCTTAA